GGGCGCTGGAGGCAGTGGGTTGGGTGCTCTGGAGAGTTGATGTGGATGCCTGCAGGGAGTGCTGGAAGGTGCTGGAGGGTGCCCAGAGCAGTGGGGACTGAGGGCCAGGAGACTGGAGGGAGAGCGGAGCTGGGCAATACCCATAACGGTGACACTGAGCAGAGCCAGGGTTGCAGAAGGTGCCAGGAGCACCTGGTAGGTGGCATAGTCCCAATATATGGCATAGGAAAGGAGACAAGCCACTCTTGCAATGAACTCCTGTGCAAGCGTATTGCTGAGCACGTTGCTGGAGGGTCAGTCCAGAGACACGCATTTGCCAGCTGCCACCTGGTGACTTGGGATGATTTGGCCCCTGTGCTCCTGACCTGCCCTGATTTGGTCCAGGCACCTTCCTGTGCTGCTCCTGGCAGTAGGGGTTTGAAGGATGAATCTGACTTTCTTCTTCAGATGCTGCTGACAGCAAGGTCCCGCAGCAGGTCTCTGAAGAGCCATCTCTCCCTCTCTCTCAGACCAACCGAAGGGGAAAAAAGGCTTTGTTGCATTCTCTGCGGGGGTTGCTGGATGCTGTCCAGACCAGGCACTCAGGAATATTTTAGCAATGCCAGCACAGGTCAGCGGCCCTTTCTTAATGCCCAGGCATGACCACACAGCTACCAGTCTCCAGACTGTGGCTATAATGGGACAATGCCCTGCCCACATTGGTTTTAATGGTGCAGTCTGGGCCTGAAGAAGGGGGCAGCTGCCACAGATTCTGTGCAGCTCTGGTCTAGGAAGAGATGCAGAGTACAACGCTGGCACGTGGTTCCTGCAGGGCTCCCTGCAGGGAGATCATCTTAACAAGCTCCTCGGCTGCTTCATGGCCTCTCTAACTGTCCCCTCTCCTCCAGAGCTACTCCTGGGCAGTGCAACGCTCCCTGCAAGGAGCCATCCTGCAGCAGCCAGGCAGGCTCAAACACTGGTGCCAAATGCGTGCCACTGTCCCCAGTGTAGCTGGTGTGGTTGAGACCCAGCACGTAGCAGTAAATCTGGGCGGGCTGGTTGGTGGATCTTCAGCTCTGGCTGAAGCAGCAAGAGCCTGTGGATGCCACCAGCCCAGATCCCTGCCTTTCTCTCCCAGCACTGTCCCTAATGGGCTGGAGACACCACCTGAGAGAGGCGTACGGCTGGGACCCTGCCGCATGTAGGGGCCAGTCGTGCCTGGCTATGGCCGTGGGTGGACATGGACTTACACCCCCCCACACACACACAGTGTCCCTCAGTGCCAGCCTGTCCCCTGCGCCAGAGTCAGCCAGCGCTGGCTTGTGCCCCTGCATGCCTACCTGGTAGTGTGCTGCTGGATCTGCTGGAGGTTTGGGTCTTGCTCTCTCAGCATTTAAGTAAGGCCCAGTTGCTATGAGATGGGACCTGAATTAATTTAAGAGTCTCTCCTTTAGGTAAAGGAGATAAATAAAAGAGAAGGGGTAAGGGCATGAAAGCAAGACATTGGAAAGCAAGGCTGAAACTCTAAGTAGAAAGGCACAGATAGACCATAAAATAGAGTTCATTTTCTCCTATAATATCACATAACTGCCTCCAGAATGATAAATGGCTTCTATCTATCCTGTATCTGAGATAAGTTTTCCTTTAAAATTACCATAGTTATTGGAATCTTTTCTTGCAGAAGATGTATTGCTACAGCCTGAATTGTTCCTGACACTACCTGCAATCCTGAGCAAGAGATTATCTGAGGGCTTACTAAACTTTTAAGTGAAGAACTAGGTCCATCTCCACTCCACTTCTGTAATTTGCATACACATCACCATTTTTTCTTCAGGGTAATAAATGATGGAACATGTGCATCCCTTTGGAATTTTAACATCTGAAAGAGATCACGTAATTTTTTCAACCTCTATCTATTGGTCTCTTAAACAAATTATAATAAGCTACTAGGCTAGTTGCTTTAAGACTAATCAGGAAGAAAAACCTGTGCAGTGCTAAAGACCATATTTTTAAGCTTTATTAATAAATCAGGACTTGCAGCTGGGCTTTTGCCACCTGATTATTTGAAAAATGGAAGTTGAGCCATTCTGCAGTGCAGCAAGTGTGATTGTTCCAACAAGCTAGCTATCAATTTAGGAAATCCTGGCACACTCTCACATTTTAATGAATCTCCTCATGGCCCTGCATCATTGAACAACCTCAGTACTGACTGTAGGAGGGTTTGCAGCAAGCATGGATGTCGCAGGGAAGGCACTTCCTACCCATTTTCAGAGGCCATGGTTCCCTTGGGCTGTGCATTACCTGGCTCAAGGACAGCAGTACAGAGCTTGGCCCCGTACAAAGCACTTTGCCCAACTTCTTGGACATGAATCAAACACAGGAGCAATATGTCATCTTGATTTTGAGTGCTGCAGGGCTGAGAAGGTGGTGGGCCCCCACAGTGCCCTGCTCTGGGTGACTGCAAAGCCCCTCACCCCCCCAGTCCAGGTGGGATGTGTAGGAGCAGTGACAGAAGCTACATTTCTACCGGAAAACAGAACGGTGCCAGGAGGTATTCCCCAGCCTTGAGGCAAACTGGCAAAGGTGGCCAGGCCGTGCCTATCTATTTATAAACTCCTCCAGCTTCCCAAACAAGGTGGCTGCATCCCAGCTGTCCTTGGCTTGGGCTAACTCTGTGGAATCAACTGGGAGGCCTAGATGGCCTGAGCCAAAATTGTGCCAGGGATCTCACTAATCAGTCAGAAAGCCATTCCCAGAGCCTGTGCACGCTGCCTGCCGCCGCTTAATTTCCCAGCACAGGCACAGCTGGGATCATCACCTGGTCAGGAGTCCTGGTCCAGCTGCACCGTCCTCCTTCCTCCCTAAACAAGGTGTTTGATGTGCAGAAGCCCATGTTAAGTCCCCTTAGAATTAAACTCTTCTTTGCAAAATCCTAGTGTAACTAAAGAAGTATATGGATTTGTTTTTAAAAGGAAAATAAAATGGGGAGGCAGTAAACCAGAGACTGCACACAACACAAGGCACTGTCAGCGTGACTGAAAGGCAGTAGATTGAAAACCAGCGTGTGTTTGTTAGAAAAGAAAGGGTTTGACATTTAACCACAAGTTAAAATTTCAAATGTTTATTGGAAAACTGAAATCTGAACCCATGAGGGCACAGAGCTGGTTTTCACTGAAGAGATTAAAACCCCCCTGTTTCCACCAGCCCCTCACCACACTAGTCCTTCACCACTGAAGCAGGGAGGGGGTTTTTCTGCTTCTTCCTAAACAGCCTGAGATCTACGGCCTCTGTGGCTAACACATATGCTCACAGTTGGACAGACTGCCGCAGTTTCAAGCCGCATGAGGGACTCTGCAGGTCCTGGTGGGAGGCAGCTGCTGGGGCCAGGGCAGGTGCCTCCCCGCAGCCCCAGAGCAAGGGTGGTGGGAGGAAGGCTGGCATCCTAGCAGGGTCACCCACCTGCTGGCCTCTTCTGGGAGAAAGGCAGCTGAGCTGAAGGGCTGAAGCAATTTCAGCTGGGGAGAGCAGTCCCTGGCCCGCCCTGGGGCAGCGGGAGCCCTCAGAGAGATGGGAGAGGAGAAAAGCTGATGCCTGGCTTGGGGCAAAGCCTGGGGAAGGTGAGGGGAATGGCTCGATCCACTTGTGAGGCAAACCAGTGCCTCTGGGAGAAAGCTGACTTGCCAGGCTGGATGGAAGAGCTCCCACTCTTCTACTTTTTTTTTTCCCCCCTTTGGTGCTCGCTGAGATCTTGTGGGCATGTTGTGTCCAATGCAGGGCCCTGCCCTGGGATGGAGGGGCTGAGGGAGGTGAGGCAGCAGAGAGGGTGAAAAGGGAAAAGAGGGTATGGAAGGAGAGAGGGGAATGCCAGGATTACAATACAGGGACAGAGAAAGAGAGAGATTTGTTAAAAATACAATGCTGGGCTGAGGCAAACCAAGGGGAGGAACACTGAGGCCTGCAGAAGTCACAAACCAAAGGCAGTTACAAAGGCTGTGTATCAAAGACATGGAAGTGCTGTCATCTTGTATTTTCATGCAAAGTTTAATGTTAAAATTCTTTTAAAGAGAAGAAAAAACCCAACCTGCTACACATTTTTTAGCTCCCCCCATTCCTTAGCCCCTCAGGGAAGGGCCAAGGCTGGCTCCTGGGACTGCACAGCAGACAGCCCCCCAGCACGGCTGCACACCAGGCACCTGCTGCAACCCCACCTCTGCCAGCACCCGCCCCAGGGCTGTCCTGCTCCCCTCAGTGAGGGGCAGCCGGGCCAGGGAGGTGCTGAGGAGGCAGCAAAACACTCAGCTAAACCCCAAAACAAACAAACAAAAAAGACCAGGTTTCACTTTCAGCTCTTTTAAATACGTATCTTGCTAGATGAAAAACCATTTGCTATGGCCATTGCGAGAGTAATTTAAAACAAGCCGTTCTCTGAGCAGAGGAACCAGGGAAGCGCTGTCTTCTGTGGCTGAAGCCTCGGGAGGATGAGGATGGGGAATGCTGGTGGCAGCTCTTCCTGCAGCTGAGTCTTTCTGTCCCACTGTCTCCTGTCTCGCTGAACTCGCTTCCCACAGCCAGACTGTCTTAAAGAGCCAGAGTCAGAGCACTCAGAAGCCGCTCAATGAAACAGGCAGGAATTCAGTTTGGTGGTGATTTCTGCCTCTGCCAAATTCATCTGAAATTTGCCAGTGGGTTGAAGAACATACCAAAGTAAAGAAGGTGCAAATCAAAGACCATTACTTTACACAGGAGGAACACTTGACCCTTCCTGAAAAGGGACTTGCTCATGAGCACTCTCCTGCCCGAGGGCCGGTGCAGCTCAGCGAGCAGAGCTTCCCAGGACAGTCTCAGAGGGATGCCCTCTGCGCCGGCGCACTCAGGCACGTGGCAGCCTGGGAAAGCGGCGCTGTTAGCTCCCCAGACAACCCTTTACAGAAACCTCTGTTCTCTGAGACAGTGTACCCACTGGCAAATATATTGCTATACAAATCTGCTCCATGTATCTTCTCCCAGTGCCAGTTCTTTTGACAACATATAAAAATAAAAGCCAGTCCATTTTGTTAGCAGTCACTGTCTGCATATTTAGCAACTTTAGCCAGTGACGCCAAAGTCCTCTTCAATAACGCTACAGGGCCAGATGGCTCACAGTCACACATCATAAATTCCTTTCTGCTATTTCCATCTTGTATTTACCCAGCTCAGTGTGTAACAGCTACTGGCGTTGAAGGCTTCCTTTTTCAGAAACATCTGTGGTTTTGATAAGTCTTTGTAGGTATGGAAAAGCCTGAAGTCCTTCAGCTCCAGTTCTCGGAGCAGACTGTACCAGTACCGCACCACAGTGCTGTCATTGCCACTGACCTCAAACCCAGGCCAGTGGATGTGCACCTCAAAGACCAGCTGTCCTATCTGCTCGACAACATCTTCCAGGATCAGGTTTTCCAAAATTTTCCACTCGGCGCTCTCCACATCTGCCTTGAGGACATCAATCTGCAACAAAAACATGAAAATGAGAGGCTTTGCAGTTATTGTCAGTAACATCTGAGGCCAGGCTTGTCCATTTTATAATATACATAATTGCTCCTATGTACAGTTCCTTTAGTGTTTAAAATTAAAAAAAAAAAAAAAAAAAGAAAGTCTCAAAGAAAGTCTCAGAACATCCTAGGGCTAACATGGACAGTATGTGAAGTTTCATGTTTGCCTTTCCACAACCCTTATCCTGCCTCTGACTCCTGGGCTGAAAAGCTTTGTACTCCAAAGTGTGTGATGCAGCTGATCCTACAATTAAAGCATGTTATTGTTTCTTCACAAATCTTGTGGTGTTGTCAAAGCTATGGAAAAAAGAAACCCACCTCGCTACACAAAGACACTAAGGCATTGCTGTTCCTTATTTCTCCGTCACAAAATCCTTAGACAGGACAGATCACACTAACAGTGATTACTTGCACCACAGCAGAGCAGTGGCCTCGTGTGCCAGATGCTACACGCACCACACAAGCGCAAGAGGCAGCCAAAGTGAAATGAATACTGTGAACAGCTCAGGTTGCAGCTAAGCTGCTGTCTGAAACTTTGGCAGGCGTCACTACAGATGCTGAATGAGGAGGACCAATTCAAAGGAGAATTATGCAAAGACTCGGCAGGATTTTAAGGCAGCTCCTCCAAAAAAAAAAGGGATAGCAGGAAAGGCTCTGTGAAGTTGCTTGAAGGGAAAAATACAACTAATAAACAAGCACCCTGTTTTAATTTTAGAGCACTATTTAGTTTTGTTGTTAGATACTCAGCAAACCAAGTTCTCACAGCCCAACACAACTGTGGGTTTATTTTGCTTGGCAATTAGCCGGAGAAGGGGAATTGTATGCTTTAATAAAAAAAGAGCATTTCATCAAAATTTCACACCTGGTAGAAAACAATGACTGCAGTAGTGCTCAGTAGTGCTCACAAGCTGCAGAGCTCAAGGGTCTGCATTTCCCAGGGCCGAACAGGGAAAACTCCCTGCTGTGAGAGCGGGGTTTGCCTGTGCCACTTCCAACCAAGCTGCTGCTTCTGCCCATCTGCTCAGGCTCAAGATGCATGAAGTGAAAATTAAAGATTTTATTTAGAGTCAAGAATAGCAAGAAAAAAGCCAAGCCTAGCTCTCAAGACAGCCACCCCTAACCCTCAAGGCAGCATCGGAAAAGGCACCTGTGCAGGTATAGGACAGAAATCTGGGCAGGTGGTACAAAAGCATTGACAAAGCAACAGCTTCCCTAAGCTGTGCCATCCCAGGACGCCTCGCTGGTGTCAGGCCATGCCCCAGCCATGCAGGCTGGGACCCTGGCTCCTGGACCTCTCTGCCCAGGGGTGTAGAGCAGGGGTTGTGCTGCAAGCACCTCTCCCATACAACCAGAGCTCTGCTTTGCAGGGACTGGAACCAGAAACCACAGGCCCATGGCAGGGTTGGGGTGAGGTGAGCTGCCAGGACCACATGAAGGGCCCACATAACAGTTTTTTCAACTGTGCCTTGGGTAAGAGAACTGCTGTTGGTTCCTCAACTTCACCCATAAATGTGTATAAATATCCTTCACCAGACTAAAGCCTAGTGAGTAGGGTCAGGGCTGTAAATAACTTGGCCGTCCACTTCCACAGGTAGGTGCAGTTGAGAGGAGGAAGGCTGCCTCATACAGCTGTCTTGCCACACTCTTCCTCGTCCTTAGCCTGGGGCTAGGAACCAAACAAAACCACAATGTCAAAAGACATTGGACAAGAAGTTTTAAGAGTTAATTAATCTCAAATTTTAACCTCACAGGTCAAAAATAAACAAAAGTAACTGTGTGGGCTTCCTATACAGGGGCTCTCACTTCATGGCAACGGTCCCTCCCGTCTACCTTGACCCGTAGTACCTGCACTGATTACACCTGGATGCCCAAAGCTCTGCAGTCTGTGGTCCCTGGCTGCCTGAGGGATAGACAGAGGCAGGCAGGACTGGTAGCAGAGAGAAGAGACATTAAGACAAAAAGTGCAGAGGTTGAAGAGGCTGGAACCACAGACTGATGGAGGAGTTATCCTCAGACTGGAAATCTGGGTGAAGGACACTGGGAAAAAGAAGTAGAATGCAGAGCTTGGGCAGAGATTTAAAAGGCAGGGCTGGAGGTACCGGAGGAAATTCTAGCAATGAGGTACCTGCAGAGCACAGCAGCAGCAGCAATAGGGAGTGCTCTCCTTCCTTGGCTTCAAGAGGGTCTCTGAAAGAGGGCAGAAACCAATGGAAGGTGAAGAGCTTGGTGCTTCCCAACTGCAAACGCATAACCCAAACAAGCGAGACAAGGGGACCAACGGGCCCTGGGCTGTTCTTGTTCCCAATGGCTAAAGGCTAGGACAGCATATGGCTACTCTCACCTGTCTTACTATGACCTGGAGCTACACCATGGGCCAGATAATGCTGCTACCAGTGAGAAAACAGAGGCCATTAGAGACAAACAGGGTGAAGCGTCAGAAGGGGACTGGCTAGGAGGTTAGGCCCACGATCTGAGGACCCAGTGCAAGGCAGCTGCCATCGAGTGCTTGGTGATATTCTAGTTTCCAGTGGGGTGGCCATGTCTACCTTCCCTTGTTCTTTGGTTGACTGGAGGCACCAGGGTCTGATCTACTAAGGTGCAGAGTGCTCACAACCGCATCAGCTCTCCTCAGGGTCTGTGTGCCGGTGCTAAGGACAGGCATAGGATGGCAAGAATCAGTAGTGTTAAATGCTTGCTGCTTCTGATCTCCATCTGTAAAACCAGGGTATTAACCACTGAACTCCCGCTGCAGTGTGCAAGGGCTGTGTCCGTGAAAGGCTGTGAGACTTTTGTGGGACAAGCTGTAAAACACCATCTTTTCAGAGCAGGACTTGGAGAGTGGGACTTGAATGAGGTCCACGGTCACAGACAAATGATGACAAGCCACGCTGCTGCCTGTCTCTGCTCATTAAGGCGGCATTGTGCCTCCTCCGCACTGAGGGAGGCAGGGGGCCAGTGGAAAATGACCGAGGGTTTATGGAATTAAAGCCCTTTTTGTGGAATGTCTGCATGGGGAGGGGAGAGGAAGGTTACACAGAAAGCCTTAGCTCTGGTATTTCCCAACTTGACCCTGCAACAAAGAGCCTGTCGGTCTGTCCGTACGTGGGTCAGTGAAACAGTTTAGCATAGCTCTCCTTCGGGTTCAAGGAGAAGGTGAATGTTCAGCTGAGAACTACTTCATGGTTGAGCTCACTTGTTTCCCTTTACACATTTAAATAGGTTACTTATTTTTCAGATAGCAACCTGCAGCACTACCTGTAATGTATTTTTGTATGTAGTTTTGATTCCACATGGGTGCGACTGCCATAGGACCGTGCTGCCACACTTCAGTAACCACAGATTTTTACATTTGTGAGACTCCTGTAACTTTGAAAGGAGATTACTCAAAACCTTTTTCTTTTTTTTTTTTTTTTTACTGGGGGGATGGAGTAGGGGGAGAAATGTTTCTAAGTGTTTGCTTTTGTTTTCCCATGATCTTGCTTTATGGCAACAGTAGGACATCTTTTTCCCATGGTAATGTTTCCAGTCATCATCCAGGTTTGTTTGTTTTTCTCTTGCGACACTAGCTGCTGCTCTGGCTGCTCAGCAGGCACTGCCCCTGTTTTGCGCTGTATTTGCAAAATTGATCTGAAAAGTGTCTGCTACCAATATTTTGGTAGAATAAAGTGAGTTACCACAGTAACTCCTTAAACACATACTGAAATGACCAGGAAAGAAACACAATGCTAGTGGGGATGTGCTGCATACACAACCCAGAGGCTCTTTGTTACCTGTAGTGCCCTGCACTGCCCAGGGACCTGGAGGGAAGAAGGTCCCTGTCTCCTCCCAGCAACTGTTGTGACAGCCTTCCTGGCAAGGGGTCCATCTCAGCCCAAGGTCTCAATTTTATGAGTAAAATAAACAGCAAACCAGCTTTGTGTCAGGGTATCTGAGCAAATAACAAGCGTCCTGCTAACACCAAACACAAGTTTTGTGATGATGAGACCGCTCAGGAGATATTTACCCTCAGAGATAAGCAGTGCACTACTGATAAGAAATGCACTACCACCTTCCAGATGCCTTGATTCAAAGTGGCAGTGAAAGGGTTAGTGGACAAATCTATAAATTCAGAGCTCTGATTCACCTGGGAGTGCAGCTGGAATCTGCTGCTGAGAGTAAATCCTGGAAGGCAAAGATCTACAGTACCTGAAGGTAAAAGATGGCATTCGATTGCCCGTGGTTTCAAGTACTCACAGACTAAGGCTGGTTTCTCTTACCTACCGCAAATCCTCTTATCTTCCACAAACTAGCTAGGTTGTCACAGAAAAGTAAAAATATTTGGACTTTTAAAAAATGTTTCTTCAGTGTTTAGTTCCCTTGAAAAAGCACTGCAGCAGTTACACCCAGAGAAAAAAAAAACCACGTCTTTCCTCACACACAGCCAAGCATATAAAACAGCTGAAAAATAATGTATTTTCATTAGTAAACGTTAACATGTGCTGTATGAAGGCCCATTTCTTCTTCTTAGGGTAATGACTGTCCATCATTTTCTCAACCAGAGATCAGAGCTCTGTTTGCCTTGATCGTTTTTGAAATGCCAGGGTTAACAGGGATTTCAGGCTCCGCGCTGCCCTGTGGGCACCATTTAAAGCTCCCTGTGGAGAAGAGTCAATTGAGAGTGAGTAGCTGGAGGAAGCAATTTAGCTGTATTACTTCCAGCACAGAACTCAGCATGTGGAAGTAGCAGTCAGGAAAGCCAAAAACGGCAAATGCAGTACAGGTCAGGCAAGGAGGATCCCTCCCTTTCGGTGGTAGCAGCTCTGCGGTGTAAGGTGGGAGCAGGGAGAGGAGAGCTGGTTACAGCTTTCAAGCCAAGGACCAGAGCTCAGAACCACCCTGTCCTCCTGAACCACAGTGCTGCACTGGGGACTTAAGGCTGTAAGAAATAACCCTGTGCCTCAGCTCCCTGATACCAAA